ATTACAGCTTTCGGATATAAATGAACTCAATTTATTTTAATAGCTTTTTTAAGAGTACTTTTTAGGCGTTTATTTATTGTAAGTATTGAGAAAAAATAACTTCTACTCTTTAAATTATTCGATTATTATGATGAAATAAGTAAAGTGAACAGTTGAAAGAATTTTCGTTGGCAGATAGCATTGGATGGGATGTTGTAAGTAATATAAGAAAAGTTTTTAAAGGAAATGAAGAAAGCAGAAAATCCAAGTTCTCTGTTATGTAAATTCAACGAATTTTTTATCAGGAACAGATCTTCTGATCTTCTTCTGATAACAGGAGCCTTGAGGTACGGTTTCAAATTTGTCTGAAAGTTCACCATTCAATATTATATTAGCGTTTGCATGCATCAGAGTCATATTAATTAAGTTGATGTTTTTTTTGCGGTATACTAAGTTTTTTTTTTTATTATAATCGATGTATTTTCTGCTGAGCTGATCGAACACTTGTTTAAAGTCTATAAATAAACAATGTATGTTAATGTTGCGCTACTATGAAATCTACATTTTTTAAATAAAATATGACTACCATATTTAACGCATTCAGTGGTTGCTAAACGATTCATGTTGTATTATGGCAAACTTCAAGTTGAACAAATGATGGCCTGCATGCTATTATTGTTAGACATATGTCATTGAAATAATTCTGCCAAATCACTCATAATAATGTATAACATTTTATTTATGATTTAATTCGATCATTATTGCAACTCATTACTGGAGACATCATCAGTATTTTTAATAAATTTCAACTTTTTTTCAGTAGAACCACACAGCTAAAGCATACCTATTTGTGTGTGTATAATACAATGGCAATGATATTACAATATTATATGTATAATATAGTAATTGCAATATTGACTCAATATTGATCGTGATTTCAATTTGAAAACTTCAATGATAACAAAAACATAAAAATGTTGCATTACTTTGGCTTAGAAACCATGCAAAAACTTGTTCTTCCTTAAAGTTTTGTATTTTAAAATTGAAAACCCAATAGGCTTGCTAATGAAGTAGCTTATCAAAATTCTTGGATTTAGTTTATCTCTGTTCATTTGGAATTAAAATTTCCATTGTCAGATATTAAAGTTAATTCCACCGTAAACAAAAGTGCACAAATCTCAACCGAACTTTTAGGCGTACTTACACATATGCACACATTACTAAAAATTATTATATATACGTTTAGGTAACTCGATTCGCATGTGCCTTAGTTTGTCTGAGTGTGTGTGTGAGCAATCCGTGCGCAGCCTTCAGGCTATGCAACATTTTTGGCATAGGCAAGTACTAAACGTTATCTTAATGCATACTTTTAGGTGCGGTAACGCTGTGGGCGCAATGCTTTCAAATTAACACAAATACAAATATAATTATTCGAAAAATATAGACCAGCTGACAAATACTTATGTAACAACACACTAACACACATTGCTCTTCGTTGCTTATAATTTGTGTCAATTGAAGAAAAATGCATTCATTGTGAGTAGGTGACATCGATATGGAAATATTCGTATGAGTGTGGATATTGTAGGTGATTTAAACTGTGGTTTCAAAAGTCAGTTTAAGCGCCTACACGCTCCAAATAAATATTTACATGCAGTGTTTGCATATACATTCACACAAGAAAGTAATAATATTTTAAGCCAATACTAAATGAGAAGCTTAACGTAATTGCATATTTGTAGGCTGTCTGTAATTTTATTTGCACAGTACATGTAATGCATGCAAATGAATGCAATTGTGCCTATACATAAATATTAAATAATTTTTTTTTTTTTTTTGTTTTTTTGTTGGCAGGAACTCAATATTAATTGCCTTTAGCTGACAGATAAAAATGTGACACATTCGGAACTCGTTGTATAATGGCGAAATTCATATACAAGTGCTTGGAGAGTTGCCACAAGTTACACGGGATTCAATAAAAAATATGAATGGCTTCTGTAATTCGTTGATTTTAATAAACTTTAATAAATATGGGATGGAATTTGCAATATTTTTGTATTGGCCAAATCAAATTAACACTATTTTCTATTTTCTAGAAAATATTGGATATATTTTTTAGAAATAAAAATTATTTAAATAATTATAGAAGAATTTCACAGTCGTAACTTATGTCTCAAAACTGATTTTGTATTATCACTTAGACATGGTTTTAGTCAGTATTGAAATGACGATTCAAAATCCTTGCGCTAGTAACTAATGTGCATTAACCACAGAGTTGTACTGACTGTGGTTAATACCCAAACTTAAGAGAGTAGAATGATCAGGTATTTGTGTATTATTCATTCGGCGTTGGGTTGCGTATTTACCACCGGGTGCTGTGATCCAAAGATCAGCAGAGGTTTTGGTATCATGCCAAGGAGGAAGTTGTATCCAAAATATATAATTTCATTTGTAACCGTCGGAAATTTATTAGAATTTCTAATGGGGCATTTATTGGCACATTATCTAGATACATGTGTTTGTAGAGCACATATCTTCACGGCAGCCTTCATGGCAGGTAATCACGTAAATAATTCTGAAAGTCTCTTCATTAAATGCGTCCGAAAAACATTGTTTGGGTGGGTTTATAGCACATGGTAAATCGTTTTTAGTACGAATTTCTTTTATGATAAAATTCTTTTTTGATTAAAGAATATGTCAACAATTAAAATTGTAACACCTGAAGCGATAAAAATCCACAAAAAATTTTCGAAAAAACGTTACATGCACAAAAAGTTACTTAGTAGTAACATTTGGTCTGGTGGAGTCATACACTCATACTTTTTGAAAATATTGAATATGTGATGATAACTATCAATTCTGATCATTTCAGCTATATGGTTAGCCAATTGTTTTGCTGTGAAATTTTTGATATGTAAATGGAATATAATACATTGAAAGAAAGGTCCATAAAACAACGTTGTTCATCAATTTAGTCTACGATATGAGCAATACAATCTTTTAATCGCTTTTTTAACACTTCAATTTCTCTCCGACCCAAATCTCTTCCCCTAGAGTGTTTTATACAGATCTATAAACATAGAGTAATCGCTAAAGGCCATATCTTTAATTACATTACTAATTTAAACTTTATTAATTAATAAAATCTTTTTAATTTTGTAAATTTTCATTAATATTTCCGATGTTCCGACTTTGGGTGTTGCCACTAAGGCATCGTCAAAGGTATTTTTTTTCTTGTCTGACCCAGTTTCTTTGTCATGTCTGTTCAATTGCACAACTTCTTGAGCTTAAGTGGTTCATATATATATTTCATGTACTTAAACTCTACCTAACAAGACAACAATGACAACCCAAAAACAAAAAAATAATGATAAAATATACACAGAATTACTAAACCTCGTAACCAAGAAGTAAAAAAAAGTCTTTTCCTCCCTGTTTGCATTATTTTGCAACATTTACCATAATTTTTTGTATTCACAGTTGTTGTGGGTCGTCGTTTATGTTGTTGTACTACTTGACCTTGCCACATGCTAACGAAATACATAGGCGTACAAGAAGAAGAAATGTTCCAGTGTTTTTTGCTGCTTGCCTACTGCAAACACGTTGCCAACTATATTTTTAGTGTATTCTTTTCGGTTGATATGTGTATTATACGGCAGCTTCAACTTGCCCAGCTTCCACGTGGGGCTGTGATCACACAACTCAGAAGCACAAAAGCACAAAAGCAGAGATGCTTTTTTAGTGCTGCAAAATAAAAGGGGTTAAATTTGCTTTGAGATGCAGTCGTTCACGGAGAAATGGAACACAAGTGCACTGCTGTGTAAAAAATATCTACTCAAGTGTGCAAAAAATGCTACAAACTTTTTACAAGCAACACATTATTCTACGGGCTGATATAATGTCGCAAAATTTGTAATACTTTTTACTTTTTTTGTTGTTGTTAAAAATGCCTGCAGCATAAGCGTAACATTTAAGGTCGTACCAAACTCAACAAAACGAACATTAAATATACAAAATATAATTTTTATATTTTTATGACATCACAAATGAATCCTTTTATGTCATGTTTATCCTTGAATGCGAAGAAATTTCAATTTCTGACTATTTTTGTTAATTTCAATTATTATCAACTAGGAAGTGGTATTCTAAATTGATGAACTAACTTAGATTTGATTCGAAAAAACGAAGTAGAGTTCTCTGGACTTAGAAATAGGTGAACACCTTTTAAACTACTGACTAACTTTAACTGAAACCAGATTTACATATTATTATTAAATAATTGGCTATGAATGCACCACGACCTAGAAGATCTATTGTGCCTCAAAGACCACAACTAAAATAATTCAAGAGTATTTATAAGTTTCGTAATTGCTGTGGGCTTAATTTTATCTATTTGATTTGTGACTAAGATCCCGCTTCCAACGTAGTCAAGTGTACGTCTTGCCGCCGCTTGGCTATGTGTGTGTTGCATACAATATATTCTGATGTTTTCTTCTCCTCATGACAGAATCAACAAGAATCACTTTCTACTGCACCTAAATTCTGCATGTGGTGATTGAGTCTACAGTGTCCTGTGAGAAGTTCAATGTACATAAGCACAAGTTCTAATTGTCAAATGTTTAAATGGATCGTTTAAAATGCTTGGATCGTTAGGGAGGCCTAACCTTTCGCATAATTTTTACTAATAATCGTGAAAACAAAAACGATCTTAATATTATATAAAATGAGTCAAGTAACTTCTTTTTACCTCAGCTATCTTTTTACTACAGCCATAAGGCCACAGTAAAAATTGTATATACAGAAACCAAGAAGAAGGTCTTATCCGGTGGTGAAGGACACCCGGGTTTGTAGTCGCATTAATGATTTCATTATTTATTGTTAATTATTAAAAATAAATATATGTATTCTACTTATTATTTAGCTATAAATTCAAACCGATTTTTTAATAGAATTTATACTTATCGCAGTTAACTTAAAATAAAATAAAATAATTATATATATTTTTTTTATTTCGTATCAGTGTTTCAAATTTTATTGTAGAAAAAGTTCAAAATTTCAAAATTGGTTCAAAAATTATCGAAAGGCAGAATTTCGACTCATTTCAAAGGTTTCTGTTGGTACGTATCGAAATAAATTATTATTATTTTCTATATGTATGCTTACAACGACTTTTATTGTTAGTGTTCTATTTCTACAAAAATGTGTGTATGTCGGAAAGAGGTAAATGTCTCATTGTGGTCTGAGGAAGTTAAAGCTAACAATACAAATTACTTAGAGCGTCAAAAATTTCCGATTACTGTCTTAATTTATGTGTTTACTACAGTAATGCAAGGAAAGTCTTTACTAAACAATGGAAATTGCAAACAGGATGTTAGTACTACCGCTGTTGATAAATGTGGAACCGACAATAGTCCTAACTCAGTAGTTAAAAAGCCAAGATTACAACAGTTGTTAAACACAGGAAATGAGTACAAAGCAATGATGCCTTTGACCGCTGCATTTGAGAGACGTCAAAGAATCAATAATATTCTTAGACGCCTAATAGCACTGGTGGAAGAAATGGTGTCCCTTAATATGAGTTGTTCGGAAATAGAACTTATAAATCTATCAGTCACTGTAAACTCCAAAGAACTTGCAGGTCCTTCTCTACAGATCATAGAATCAAAACGATTGAACTCTTCACAGAAGCAAATTGTTAACACAAATGCTTGTCTTGATATTGCTCCATCTTGTTCATTACCATGGGAAAAGCCTGGTTCAAAAGAGCAAAACAAGAAGTCATCGTGTAAAACTAGTAATGAAGAGATAGCTAAAAGTTTTGATGATCTTGTATCTACCGAAGTTCCTTCGGAAAGCGTTGTAATCCTTAAGAAAATGGTAGAAAATCAACACAAAGATGTGTCAAAGGACAACCAATCAACCAAGGTAACTGTAGTGAGTGCACCAACCATGAAGCTAAAACCGTTGCAGCTACTTCATGATACCACAGATCAGCAGAAATCCAGTGACAAGGAAAACGATGACGACTGCATTTAAAATGAACAGTCATAAAAAATTACGTAAAAGCTGAATAAAAATTATTGGCAGGACTTTTGGCATAAAAATCACAGTCAATTCATTAATAGTAAAAAAAAATCGCAGCGACAAAACACACAAATAACAAATGAAACAATTGTTTAAATATATATCATCGTATTAAAATTAAATATTATTTAAATTAAATATAATTATAAACGATCGTAGAACATAGCGTACTCATAAAAAAACATAGTCAATAGTTTAGTCATTAGTACTGAAAAATTAATAGAAAAATCCTTAAGGCTAATGATCTGTGGGTTCACAATCCCACTTGCGAAAATACAAGTGTGACTGGATAGAACACAATCTCAGAAGACTGAACGGCAACATTTTTCTACGTAGCCCTCGACTTTTCTATTACCAAACACTGGTACCAAATAACCGATATATGCAGTCCCAGTTTTACACTACCAGCGTTTTTAAGAATATTGCTATATCGCCACTATTTAACACCGAAACCTACATAAAAACTAGTCTGAGTTAGATATATAAAAATTCTATAGTTAACGAAGCCATGTAATTGGAAGAGGCTCTATTATTTTTCAAAATATTGGATGAAATTAGATCATAGCAACCAGAATACTATCGATTCTCATTTTTGTCACTACAAATATAGATAAAATGTCTTGATATAAAATCTTTCTAACAGCTACAAATAATATGATATGATAAAGTCGTCAACACTTTATTTCGGTATTCTATATTTAATCTTTTTATTCCTTTTAAGTTTTAGCAAAAAATACAAAACTATTTTTCTTACCGAAGTCCTTACACTTTGCTATGTGCATTGAGACATTCTAAAGGTTTCATCTCTATTTGCACAAGAGTATGTGTACCATATACATATATTCTCACAAAATTGATATGAAAATATTATGTTTCTTTGCTGTTTCCAAAGATTTCTGTATATTTAAACTGACATTTCCTGTAAGACGAAAAAAGCAATCCAAAGCACTTAAACCCAAATGTCAATTTTGTTTCTTACCTTTGTGCCGTTTTGATGTCTCAATTGGAATTGGCAAAATTTGGAGACCAAAACAGATTCGTCACATGCTGCCAAATTCCAAATTCCATCAAACGTTAACACACAGATTCTGAAATATTAAAAAACTTTCTGGAACTCAACCTTCCGAAATAAACTCTTAGAAAGGATACGACACACAGTTACACACTAAAATACACAAAAACTTGCACGATTCTGATATTTTATGCAAGGATGTATGTGACGAAGTAAGCTATTAATTGAACGTAGACTAAGTTAAATCTATTTGAACACGAAGCCAATAACTTCTCACTTCATTCCCCTGGGTTGCAAATTATGTGACAAGCATTTGAAGAATATTTTCAACATAGATTTTCAACCAAAGTTTCTATTAATACATGTTTAATGATCATTAAATTGACTCAAATTGTATATTAATTAATTATGTGGTTGAGCATCAAGTGGTAGGAATATAAAATTGATTCTGTTAATTTGTTAGAAAAAATAGTTTTAAATTTTTTTAAACTGAGAATATTTGTTGGCAGTTTTTTAATGGAAACTTTATGGATATAATGGAATTGATTTCATTTGTGAATATAAATGTAAGTAAATAGTAAGGCCAACGATTTTGACAGTATATCAATGATGTCTAATTGTGATAAAAAAATTGCGCTGACTCTGAGCTTCAAATTTGACAGGACACAAGTTCGATTTTTGGTACTTGAAGCTTCAAGAAATTATTTACGAATAATTAAATACAAGAATTACTTCCAAGATTACTGATAATAGGTATTTGCTAATACTCTGTATGTACATCTGTATGGTCAGCTAAAAATTCAATTAACTAAAAATAATATAAAATTAATTTTTGCTGTTGTAGTTCACTGCTGTTCGGCAAACCACTTGATAAAAAAATATGAATTAATATTTTAAATTTCAAATAATTCAAGATCTGCAATTTGTTCAATAGTTACATCTGTGAAAACTGAGAAGACGTTAAACAATGGTATCATGGTTTGGTTCGATTCACTCATTGAAATTGCTAACGTTCTATTTAAATCAATCCAAGCCACATATTGAAGGATGATTTGCTTCCTTAAAAAGTGAAATCTCGCTTAGTATTAAAAATACTAAATTAATTTGAAGAACAGCATTGCACTCAAATTCGTCAAACAATGCTATTTAACTATCAACGCAAAATTAAATGCATGCCAACTGGAGACAAGACTTTGATCTAGGTATGTATTTGACCAAGTAACGGTTGACCAACCAAACGGTTATCGTACAAGAGTTGAGCCAAGACCGTTTGGTGACCCAAAGTCGAGAGATTAAAAAAATCAAGAGGTTAATATAGACGAGTATCGTTGTGTAATGCAGTATGAAGTGCTTCCGTAGGATCAAACTATTAACAAAAAATATTATTTGAAATTTACGTGAAGCTATTTGCAAAAATAAGTCAGACTGAAAGAGACACACAACATTAGGATGTGAAAGATTGGTTCCTCTTTAGATGTTTTGCTATTATTCAAATATAATGACTGTGCTATAGTGAATACAACAAATCCATTTTCCCAATAAAGTATACTTATAGGTCTACTACGAAATCTAGAAATTTATTATAACAAACCCAATTTGAAAAAACCAACCTGGCTATGGAAGTTTGGATCTTTAAATATTTGGCTTCAAGCTTATATTCCTTTTTGGTTTACTATAGTAACAATAAAAATCGCACGCCATCTAGCGGGAAATAACAGCTGCAATGAAAACTAAATGTTACTAAGCTCTCCAGGTGGTGTTTTGCGGGTTTTTAGTGCTGCCAGAATTTTTGTAGCCAAACGTCATTGTAGTCTAAAGTTACCAACATTCGGAACCGTTATATACGCAAAAGTAGACGTAGCTCCGAAACGTGTACTTTAACTTTACAATTAATAAATTCTGTCTATTAATTTATCAGAAATAAGAATTTGTGAGTTATGTTTCGTATTTTTAAAAAAATTTATGTAATTTTTGTTTTATAGAGTTTCTTATTGTGAATTACAAGGGAAGCAAAGTTGTGAGTTAATAAACATTGCGAATGAAAAGAAAAAGGTTGACTTTCAGTAAAAATAAGATTACGAATGTAAACAAAAAAAAAATTGATGAAATTTAAAGTTACATGGAACATCTTTGTGGAGGGTACTATGTAACGAGATATTTTATTATATTAAGACTATCGTATTTAACTTATTTTCGGATATACCATATCTCGCTTATGTGTAGAATCAGTGAAATTTGCTTTAAAAGTAATGCACGTACTTATTGTATTTGGGTCTGTTGATTCAACAAATGCTGCAAATTTTTCAACAGATATTGACAAATATATAGACAAAATAAAGCTCCTAAATTAAAAAAATGTCAATCTATAAACCATTTTTATTGTCTATATCTATTAACAATTTGGTTTTGTATCTTTTTCAACCTAGTCCCATGTTGTATAGAGTGTCATGAGCACGTCATAAGCAAAATTGTTGTTGTCTTCAATTCAAATTATAAAATTGAGAGTAAGGAAAAAAACAATATGACGGTTCAATATTGGTCAAGAGAGCGGAGACCATCTGTGCCTCGTCACTTAGGTGAAGCATTCAGTAATAAATGTATCTTTTGATAGCAAATAATTACCTTATCTGTGACAGTTCGTCATAGCGCAAAAGAACTAATTTTGAAGAGCCCATAACACTCTACATAACATGGCTCTTAGTAAACAATAGGAAGAATTAAAAAAAATACAGATAGTTAATACCATATACATGTGACATTTCTATTATTATTTATTGCGGTTTCGTTAACAAGTTGGTTTAAGATTGGCAGGTGATTGGCCTACCGCATCCAATTCTGGTGTTGGGGCTGCCAACTGTTGCCTCCAGACCGACAGAAAATATTGTGACAGTACTCCGCCGCCATCTCTTTTACAGACTCCTGTCTAAGCATACAACTCTATCCGCAACCTATGACCTCAAAATATCTAGTGGGTAGCCTGCGGGTAGGGGTTTTTTAAGGAAGTTTTTTAAGGAGGTATTTTATTTTAGGCCCACCACCCGATAACGGGAAAAGCATTCGCTATGCGTCACCCACGACGCGTCCACTAGGGGTTACAGTCTCCCCCGAGCGGTCCTATGCTCCTCCTAGAAGTTAAAGGATTAAATATGTATAATATATATACATGTGACAGGATAGCCAGATAGAAATACTTCATTATCAATACTTGATTAGAAACATGTATTAATATATTAATCAAGCAAACATTGATTATTTTTAAATATTTATAAAATGGTTATGATAAATTATGAAAAATTTGATGAACATAAAATAATTTGATCTTTTTTTCAAATAGTCTAAAAGTGTTTGTCGTCAAAACCTTTAATTGTGACTCATCTATTGTAATCAAAACCGTAAAAAGGATCGATTTTACTGAATCAGAAGTAACATATTAAAAATTTGTTTTTTTTCCAATTACTGGTAATAAACTGTTTATAATATCGTTTTTAAATAACACCCCTCATTATCTCTTTTGACAGATTCCACAGTTATTCACTATGCCTGCATTTATTAATATTTCGTTCAAACAACTACAGACTGCTATTTATATGGTTCCGTTTATATTAATTTTTGGCAGAATAGTCTACGTTGTGTGTAATTCTTTTGATTCGCAATATTGGCTTTTGTTCTGGTTAATTATCTTCAATATCGCAGCCTATTATTTGATGTGTTGGTCATTTGGACTTGAAATTAATGCAAGAAGACGTGAGAGGTTCCACATGGTGCTGTTGGAAATGATTGTACAGAGAGTTTTTCAAAGATCCCCTTTTACGGAAGATGACTTAGAAATTCTTGAAAGATATATATATCAACCAGAGGAAATGGAGGCAATATTACGTGAACTCGATAGACGCATCAATTATTCGAGCACTTCGAACGTTGAATTATGGCAGTTCGTGCAAACTGATGCACGTGTTAACATGTTCTGCAATGCGGTAAGAACTGCATATGCCCAAAGCCATAACCGTTAAACATTACCCAAGTCCTCAAGCTAAAAAAGAATTACACATAACCAAAATTTTTCGCTTCGAAATTCAAAAAAATTGGAGGTAATAAATTCAAACTATTTTAAAATGAATTATTACTCCTGCTATAAGAATATCATTTATCAAGTACACAAAATTTTTTATGTTTAATCTAATTTATTCTAGGTTTTTTTGGCGTATAACTTTTACTGGAATCCATGATGTTTATATGATGTTCATATGTTTGGCAATATTTAATGTATATTTAGATGAATAATAGTAACAGATACATTTTTGAGTTGCTGTTTGAAGTTCTATCATAGTGCCAAGCCGATAAATTTGCAGTATACGATCTACAGCTGCCAGACGATATCTGATGATATCGAATTTTAACAGTAGTTTTCTTAAGCACAAACAAAATGTATTAACTTTTATTCAATCCAATTACATTTAAAGATACAATAAATTTATAGTTTTAGTGAATTTTCTTGATGGTTTTATTTTCATTCTGATTTCTATATCGTTCAAGCATACTATATGACATACGATACTATAGTAGAAGACATCAATGTGAAATCCATAAATATTGAACACCGTGTTAAGAGAACTAGATTTAGATTGCTAAATCATTTGTTCTTAGGCCACATTCTGTCATGTTCCATGAGTGTCTATATAATATGAGCCTTTCGGTTTGTTATTTTATTTAAAAGCATTTTTTGAAAATTTATCCAGAACTGTTTTTGTGAATAAAAGTTTTTGAAAAATTTAATCAGGTAGACTAAATTAATAAATGTGTGAAAATGGTCGCCTAACAAATAAAACACAGGTTAATCAGTGAAAATAGTTTGTTTTTTCCCCAAAGTATGCTCCATGATGCTGATTACATTTTTGCATTCGATTAAATCAATTTTGGAAACAGTTTTGCCAAGCATAACATTTGAATGTTTGTGCGTAGAAAAACACTTGCCACGCATTGTTTTCTTAATGTTTGGGAACAAGAAGAGGTCATTGGGTCGTCGGAACTATAAGGCGGCCCATCACTTCAACTTTTTGAATACTCTACAACACTTTTGCTTAAGCTGATGTATGGAAGTTCGTATTGCCCTGGTGGGAGAATAAACTTCTTTCAACGGCAAACAAATGATTGTGTACCACTCAAAATTGATCGTTCTACGTTATTCCAATATTACAGTTACGGCATGACCGGTTTTGGATTTGTTTCATCTAATTTGAGTTACTTTGGGTATAGTTTTTCAGCATTACTTTGCATCAATCAACAAGTGCCTTTTTTTGAACAGTTGTCAAATTATGGTAAATCGGGAACAAATCATTTTGACTGCTAAATCTATATGTGAAATTTCATGTAAGCTGGTCGCACTAATACCCAAGGATACCTATATCTCCCGATTTGTAACACACCTATCCATCTCCACCATTTCTTGCACTATATAGACAAGACTACGCTCGAATTAATTGAATCAGCGTTTTACATTCGTTGGATATGGTGTTTCATTAGCAAATGTCAAACTAGGTTGATCGATGCATTCTTTTCTGGTAAATCCCCATGAAAAAATTCAATATTCAGTTCCATTCCTATGGAAACAACAATTTATGCTAGAAAACGTCAAACTTTTGAACAGAAATATCAAAACTCATTTCGCAACACTAAGTTTTGCTCAGGTGCAAGATTTAAAGGCAGCCTACATATAATGAAGCAGCTTTTCCAAAACAAATTTTGCTCTTCGTTACTTTTCAAATAATTTCGGGTAAAGTTTAGCACAAGTTTAGAGTTTTTTTCTTAGTCTAGTTCTGTAGTGAGAATAATAGCCAACATTGTTTATAATGAGTTATATGTCCAAGAAGTAAATGCCAGAATTTCGAACACAGATACCTACATGTTTATATAGCAGGATTTTCGTTGCTCAAAAAATTTGTTAACCAATATCTCTAGTTCTGGATAGAAAATTGTAAGTATAATTACTTACGACATATTTCTTACCATAAGTTATGAATCATGTCTGTGAGATTGAAAATTGATGCAAACATCAAGTCCAATTTTTACGAAAAATTTAATAGTTTAGAAAGATCTGGTAACGGATTTTATATTCTAAATAATTATCAAACTTGAACTGTGTTAACTTTCGAGAGATGTTGTGATCACATTTTTTAATGACCTGTCCTTAGAATAACATAGAAAGGTATGATAGTGGATTACCACCGGTAAAATTTCTCTTACTAATAGTCAAATGTAAAACTCTACTCTTTATAGGCTTTTCAGGTGCCAGAAATCACTGAAAAATTGTGCAAAATAAGACTTTTAATAAACTTCATATACACTGACAAAAAAAACCAATACGTTATAATTTATTTTATAAATATTTAATTCATTTATATATCAATTAAAAGCAAATCGCTTGAAAAAGAGCAAAATTATCACAATTTATATTCTGACGTATGTCCTGCGCTATGTTCAAAATACTCAGTTATAAATGTCAGAATGTCCACCTGTTCGGCGTAAATTTAAATCTATCCACAAAAAAACAACGTACCAAAATTATAAGGAATTTGACAATTGTGATTTGACTCTCTGTATAACACATCTCTTGGTCATGACCAAAAAGAGCGTAAGAATGCCGTCTCCATTCTATATATGACGTTTTGTACAATATGATCACTAGACGTCCATATTTTCTTTTAAACTCAAATTTTTCTTTATGTAAATCGACCGAAATAAACTTAACTTACCTTATAACAGAGCAAAAATCACAAGAATCCTTTGTTATTTTATCTAAAAAGAAAAGAAATAATAAGAATTATTAATTTACTTAATTTCTGCAGTTTAACAGTTTTTCATGATCGTCATTACAGAACGGAGGTCTTCCGCCTCTGGCGTCTGTGTGTGTAAGTTTTCTTACTTAACCCTTTAAGTAAGATCTGATTAAATCTGATTGAATTTAAATTGCTTGTTAGTTATCTAATAACTAGTTACTTTATGTTTGTTTTATTTATTTGAGGTATTACCTTAAATAATAAAACTAATTTTAAAAAAAAATTTAATATCATTAATACAGTTGTAACTGTTCCAAGGAAATTTCAAATATAAATTTTGTATTGCATAGTTTACGGCAAGATTTTTAAATAACAATTAATATTTTATTCAATAATTCACTACATTACAATTTAAAAATAAATTTTACTCATATATTCATTATATGCTTTCAATATCATTAAAATCGTTAATACAGTGGTAACTGTTCCGAAAAACTTTGAAATATAAATTGTGTGTTGCATAATTAACGGCAAGATTTTTAAATGAAAATTTATAATTTTTTTTTTAATAATTAATTACATTTCAATTTCAAATTAAATTTTATTCATATATTCATTACAGACTTTCAATATCATTAAAATTATTAATACAGTGGTAGTTGTGTCAAGGAAATTTCAAATATAAATTTTTTGTTGCATACTTCACGGCAACAGTTTTACGTGAAAACTAATATTTTTTTTATAACTTATGAAAATATTCAAGCATAATTTTTTTGCTTCTATAATTACATTTTAATTATTAAAAAGACAATCTATTTAGTATTAATAATTATTTACTATTATTTACTATTTTATTATTTCATTATTTTACTAATATTTTGTTAATTCTGCTTTGTTTTGAAGGTCTTGGGCGTATTGCTTCCTGCTTCACTGATTTTAAAATTTGGTTAATTGGGATATACAAATCAAAAATTTCGATAAAATAAATAATTTAACATATTTCATGGGTGTTGTTGTTGTTTTTTCTGGAGACACAAGTGTTTACGGTTGTTTAAAATGTTTTGTATAATTAGCGTTTTGGCAGATATTTTGGCCAAACTAAAAATTGTTATTAACAATTTTCCACTCATGCATGAAATAGCTGAGAGAAAATTACAGCAATTTTCTCTAAACTATTGCGAAATATGAATTTTTAGATACATACGATATTTAAATTCATATGCATATATGTATACATATATGTTTATATTTATGTAATAGCAAATATATGGCAAGTATGTTTTGTGTGAACCCAGCCAGGCTTGCCAGGCTTGCAAGTGTAGCAAATGACACAACCACACATAATTCGTAGATATACCAGGATATTTACATGGCAGCGTGAGTACAGGAGAGAAACACCAATATTCACACGATGTGGGTATTCTCGTTAGTGGATGGGTGTGGATGCCGATATGAGTAACGATATTTTTCATGGAAACATAAAACAATTTAGACAATTTATTTATATTTTGTGTTCTTGAATTCGATTTCAGTTATGCAAATATAAGAGGTTCTATTTACACTTTATATGATGCTGCATATCAATCACTTCCGGTAAGATTAATGTTTATTTGTTTAAAAATAAATAATTTTTTTTCCATTTTTAATTAAATAAATGCAAAAAAATAAACGATTCGTAAAAAAATTATTTTTTTTATATATGATATATTGAATTAAAATATGAATTAATTATGACTTTCTGCTTAATTGAGTAGCAATGACTTTACAATGCATATGAAGCATTTGGCGGGTGGAAAGATTTAACTAATTGTTGTCAAATTACTATACGTAAAACTCTGCATCAAAACTCGTTATCATGTTTCGGTTTGATGCTGCACTCCTCTCCCCTTTCGTACATTATTAGGTCCGGTTAAAATTCCTACAACTTGATCACACTGTATACATTTTTCCTTTAATTGCCACTTCAAATACATTTTTCGCTAGATCACTTCAGCATCACTTCTTACGAAATGATTAAACCAATGAAACCACAGTATGTTATTTCGCTAAATCATACCAAAATCGTGCTAAGATTCGTAATTCTCGTGATTCTCATAGAAGAATAAAGATCTTACAAAAAACTTCTCTCTCGAAAACTCCCAGTGCAGCGCCATCATTCTGTGATAACATGGATATTATGAACGCGCTTAAGAAGACTGAAAATTTAGCATAAAATTTTTGTTTGGAATATTTTTAAAACTGCTTTTAATATGAGTTATTTTATGTCCATATCTGTACTTCTTTAAGGATTTTTAACTACGTTTTAAACAAAAATTTTTTTTCGACTGAAACTGTATCTGTTTTCTTATAGAACTTGCTCAGGTTTTTGTTTAAGACACGTACTTAAGATGTATGCAAATATTTTGTACCATACTATTGCTCTACCCATACTCTACCACTAGATGGTATTTATATTATTAAGTGCCGCAGACAATTAGTTCATTAGTTCCGCCCTATTGTTATCCTGATATGAGGCATTATTATAATTATTTAAACTTCCTATTGTCTAACCATCTTCTTCATATAGATAAACTATGTCATAATGTAGTTATTAGTAATGGCAATAGCAACATTTCAAAGATCACAAACAATAAATAATTAGCCCATATCCAGGCCATCTTAAACAAGGAAGTGGTGAAGTTC